ATGTGATGTTCTCGACTTCTAATAATCATATTACTGAGAAAGAGCGAGAGTGAAGACTTTGGTATGTAAAATCCATTTTCCTATTAATTAGCTTCATTATTGATTGATTGTTTTTTTTTTGTTAATTTTGAATCCCTAATTTCACTTAATCCGATCCAATTTCTGAAACCCACTTAGTTAATTCACTTCTTGTGAAAAGTGAAAACCCAGTTTCAAAAATTCTGGTTGCACGTTTCAGTATGAAAATGTTTCAGACCCATATCAGTTTGGTGACAGAGCAAATAGTGGGCAATGTAGAAGGGTATATTATGAATCTCTCAACATTGTAAATGTGAAACCTTGATGAGGAATTTCTTGTGTGTGAATTAATGAATCCGTGTAACACAATCACACCAAATGTGATTGGTTTAATAGTTGCTTGTCAGTGGGATGCAATTACAAGTCCAGTCAAAAAAGAAAAAGGAAAAAAAAGATGAAAGTGGAAATGCTTAGAAACTGATGAAAGACTCAATTATAGATTTATATTTGGAAGGCTTTCTTCAACATGTAAACACAAATTAAACATCTTCTTTTAAGTTGGTAAGAGAGATTTGATTGCTTAAATCAATTAGTTTCATGGTAAGAGATCTAACCCTAATCCTATTATTACATGATCCCAGTTCCGAATTACAAAATTGAGAAAAGAACTTTGTGAGAGTAGTGTAATTCTTGTCTTCCAACTAAAAATTTTCACTCTTATATGGATACAGGTTAAAAGTATAGTTCATTAATTCTACTCATAAAAACCTCATCAACAACAAAGGATTCTACATGCTTGTCTGAAAATACAAAGAAAAGAATAAAAAATACGAAATCAATACAAATTTGAAAATGACATTGAACTATTTGCTATCAAAAAAGCTAGATGATTTCACTTGATGCTGACACGTGGCAACAGCCCAATTACTGTTTTTGTTAATTGCATTAAAAACTTGATTATTATTAGGTTAATTGGAGTTTTCTGTGAGGATAATAACTATGGAACCATTCTTGCTAGCATTTGATAAAACTTAGATGCTGTTAACATTTTTTTTTCTTTTTTTGAAACAAGATGTTTATACAGTTCGACTAGTCCTTGTAAGTGATTAATACAGTATCTTATCGTCATAATCATCTGCTTAAATCTTGAGAGTCTTGCTTTCAACTTAATAAACATGTTCGTGCGAGTCTAGACCTAAAACAAATAATATTTACTTTTGCGGATCTAAGATGTTACATTTATGGCTGCTTTTGTTTTAATTTTTTTTCACTATCCTATCCTATTATCTTATCCAATCCAATGAAATAATTACTTTTCTATTCAACTCAAAATCCAATCATATTTTATTCAACTCAAAATATTTAACAATTACTTTTCTCAATAAATGTTTATAAATTAACAAAAACACCCCCACACATCCCAAGCCATTATCACCCGCTAATAGCCATCGCCGCCGCTACCACCGTCGGACGTCAGTGCCATAACAACATACGACCGACTAGATTTGGCTAGTCGTGCTTCAATTTGGCCTTTTTCGGCAAGATCCACCATGGATTTGGTTGGACACGACCAATTTACGGCCCAAGATATGGTCGTTGACTGCCAAACGACGGCTAAAAATCTGGCCATCAACGACGACCATCGTTTGGCTACCGTCAATGGTCGAATCTGACTAAAAAATGCTAGATCGGTGCACGACCGGCCAAATCCAACCGGTCGTCCACATTCCGACGAATTCCGGTCACCGTCTGACTGCTGGCAATTGTTGGGTGGATGGAGATGTTTTTGTTAATTTATAAACGTTTATTGTGGAGGGTGTTTAGCAACAAAGCTATGGACACCGGCATTTTTTGCACCAAAATTGTGTATCGGCCTACGTGTCTCCCTAACTCACACCAGCAATCCAGACGCGTGATTAAATAATAAATATTTTTCTAGTGAATTAATTAATTCCTCTTTTGATAAAGAAACCAACCCGTCTCTCTTTTCTTGTTTCCTTTTCAATTTCTTGTCGTTTCATCTCCAACCTCTCTATTGTATGAGAATGAGATTTTTTTTCATTGTTTTTGTTTATAATTCAAAGTTTGTTTGATTGGACATAATTCTTAGCTGAAAAAGTTTATTTAAAGTTTAACCGTCCTTGAGTGATCAGGTTTAGCGATAAGTGTATTACGCAAGAAATCTTAAATTCGATTCTCTTCGATTACTAATAAGGGTGATCACTAGAGGATTTACCTGATCATTAATATTAGAACCCCAGAAAATTAGTCGAAGTACACGTAAGCCGGCTAAGTCACCAAAAATAAAAAGAAGTTTATTTAAAGTTATAATATGATGACATATTTGAGCATACATCATACAAAGTGTTTTATTTTTCTAATTATTTAAAAATAATTGTCTCTTTTGAAAAAGACCCTTCATGAGAATTTAACAAGGAATTTGGTTCTTAATTAGACAAGGGAAGAACAGTAGTAGCTTTCCTCACAAAATTTTACCACCGTCGGACGTCAATGTCGTAACAACACACAACTAGCTAGATTTTACCAGTTGTGCGTCGATCTGACCATTTTCGGTAAGATCCACCATAGATCTAGTCGAAAACGATCAAATTTACGACCCAAGATGTGGTCATTGACTAAGAAAGGCCATCAACGATGACCATTGTTTGGCCGCCATCAATGGTCGGATTTGACTAAAAAAGGCCAGATCGGTGCACGACCGGCCAAATCCAACTGGTCGTGCACATTCCGACGACTTCCAGTCACCGTTTGACTGCTAGCAATTGTTGGATGGATGGAGATGTTTTTGTTAATTTAAAAACTTTTATTATCGGGGGGTATTTAGTTAAATTAACAAATGTAAGAAGTTAAAAAAGAATCTAAATATTTTCCAAAACACATTCTCAGAATCCTATCATATGTCATTAGAATACTATTCTAAAAAGTAAAACAAACGCACATTTCAAACCAAATAACCAACAATTTTTCTATAAAAAAAACTCCATTTTCTCATAAGATGCTATAATAAGATCATTTACTGAATTCGAATAAACCCTATTGGAATTTGGACAAAAGCAACAATATAGGCATCTCCGAAGGAATTAATACTTAGTTGGATTCCTAGCTTCTTGGTACAATTTTTTGTCAATTGGGAATCAATTTGTCACATAATGACATCAATTTTATAACTAATTAATTAATAATAAAAAAAAGGGTTAATTTTGTCACGTAGTATTGTTATTGTTTACCAAAACATGGACAAAATGGTAAATATGGTAGTTAACGAGTGTATTATATTTAATTAATTGTTTTTATAAAGAGTTAGATTTGTCAATTCTTAGTTAATAACAACCTTAAATTTTAAAATTGATAGATATATTTGATGCACCATATTTACAATAAAATAAAAAAATTGACCTTGTTATGCATTATTCATTTAGAAAATAAAATAAAAACATGTTTTACACAAAACGACAAAATTTCAGTTAATTTTGTCAATTCTTAGCTAATAACGATTTTTTTTTTTTTTATATAAAAAAACTCTATTTTGACACGATTTATTTCAATAAACTCTAATATTATACACTATATTCGAATAAATTGTACTAAAGAAAATTTTGTCAATTGGGAACCAATTTGTGACATAATGACATGAATTATATAACTAATTAACATGGAACTAAGTAGTTTAATTAATTTATAATAACAAATGGGGTCAATTTTGTCATGTAGTATTGTTTACTAGAACCATGGAAAAAATGGTTAATATGGTAGTTAACGAGTGTATTATATTATATTAATTGTTGTTATAATGAGTTAGATTTGTCAAATTTTAGTTAATAACAACTTTGATTTTTAAATTGATTGATGTTTTTGATGCACAATATTTTAATTTAAAAAGAAATTGCTCATGTTATGCATTTTTTATTAATTTAATCACTAATTTTTAGTTAATTTGCTTGAAATAGATGTAAAATTATTCTTGGCATAGAATAAATTCAACTGCATCCGTCTTGAAATTTGTTGCGTTTGTTTCGTTTTAAAAAAAATACTATATTCCTATTTTGAAAAAAATGTATGTCTGTTTCTCTATTCTCAAAATTATATCTTATAATTTTCAATTATTTTAAATTTCTATAGGTTTATTAATTTAACTAAATACCTCCTACAAATATTTTTTATAATTAACAAAAACACCCTCACCCACCCACATTTGTCAGATTCTGGCAATCACCGTCGAAAGGTGACCAGAATCTAGCGTAATGGCGCACTACAGGCTAGATTTGGCTGGTAGTGCGCCGATCTAGCCTTTTTCAACCAGATATTTGGCTACATCTGGCCGTCAACGATATATCCGGCTATAGATCTAGTATTTTCTAGCCAGATTAGTGGTGAAATTTATAAAATATCGAAAAACCTTTATTATTACTAACATCGATCTTGTATAGAAAGAGAAATTTCAGTCAATTTTCCAACACGAGAATTCAAGAAATTATTTGCTAACTGAATAAAATCTTAACCACCCATTGGATAGTATGATGGTAAAAGAGAAAAAATATGCTTCATAAATTCCTGAGTTCTAGTCTCTATATGCGCTAATAGGAGTGGTTATTGACCATTTAAAGGTTTACCTGATCGTCAACTTTAGCATTTCAGAGATTAGTTAAAGTACGTGCAAACTGGTCGAAACACTTTCAATAAAAAAAAAAAAAATCTTTTTTTTTTTTTCAAAAACATTCATTCGTGTCATAAAACATATTTAAACGAGTACATTTTGAAATTCTTAAAATCAAAACCTTTATACTAATAAAGACAATCAATTTTTTTGAGAAATTATCTCTGGATGACGATAAAAGTCTTGATTATTTCATGATGTTCGAAATAGAGATCGATTATCGAAGTTCATAATATAAGCATGGATGAGAATGGTTGGTCCAAAATGATGATATTGTNACTGTATGAAGAAAGTTTTCCACTGTTGTTCTTAGAATTTTGGTGAATTTCTCAGATCTCGCAATTGAGTTGCTAAAGGATCTTCCAGAGTTAGCTATGGCTTGTGACAAAAATCAAGATACGGCCTTGCATATTTTGGCTCGACAGCCTTCATCATTTGCCGGCAGAAATGGAGGACTATCGAAGCCGCTTATCACCTCAAGTTAGTTTCTCCATATATATTTACTTGGTGTATGTAACCTTCTAATGATTATAGTCAACTTCTATATATAATATTTAGCGAATTCGAGTCCAAACAAAAAAAACAAGTGATTATACTATATCTGCTGCCTTTTTTCCAAATTAAGATCATATTTATTACTATTGAAACTATTAAAAAACAAAATTTTACAATTTTCTAACATATGAAAGTTTGGCTAAAATTTATATTTTCATTCTTAGTCCCAGGAAGGAAGTTCAATCACAACACGGATTCGACATCAACTCAAGCTCTTGAATTAGTAGGATGTCTTTGGGACATATTAACAGAACAAGGTGACTTGGAGCACACAGACCTAAGATTCGTGCTCGATGCAGCTAGACTCGGAAACTTTGAATTCTTGAATGAGCTCATTCCCCGTTATCCAGATTTGATTCATGAAATTGATGAGAATAATCATAGCATATTTCACATTGCAGTTATGCATCGTCATGCTAATATATTCAATCTAATATTTGAGATAGGTTTCACTAAGGATGTAATGGCGACTTTTGAAGATAATGACGGCAATAATATATTGCATTTAGCTGCAAAACTTCCGCATCCGAATCGAGTCAATATTGTATCAGGTGCAGCTCTGCAAATGCAAAGAGAACTATTATGGTTTAAGGTAATAAATATTTTTTTCTTGAATCAAGTCTTTAAGGAATACTGAAAAAAAAAAAAAAAAAAACATTTTAATTATTGTTTCACGTTAATGTTTATTTGTAGGAGGTTGAGAAGGTGGTGCAACCTTCATTTAGAGAAAAGAAAAATAAAAATGGCCAAACACCTCAAGAATTATTCACCCAGGAGCATAAAGAGTTATTAAGCAATGGGGAATCATGGATGAAGAATACAACAAGCTCATGTATCCTCGTCGCAACCATCATCGCGACTGTAATTTTTGCAACGGTATTTAGCGTACCAGGTGGCAATGATAATAATCGAGGAAGAGATACTTTATTTCATATTTTCGTCATATCAGATGCAATAGCATTATCTTCATCTTCCTTCTCGATACTAATGTTTTTGTCTATCCTTAGCTCGCAGAATACAGAAGACGATTTTCTCAGATCCTTACCATTTAAGTTGATTGTTGGGCTCTTATCTCTCTTTATTTCAATAATAACCATGATGATAGCTTTTACCACAACCATCTTCTTAGCTTATTAGGATAGATTAAATTGGGTCACCATACATATAGTTCTACTAGCATCTGTGCCAACCACCATTTTTGCTCTGCTACGTTGTCCCCTGTTAAGAGAAATATCATATTCAACATACCGTTCAAGGTTTCTGTTCAAGTCAAGTACTACTATGCTTTAATTTGCTAGAATTATTGAAGTTGGTTGTATTGTAATATGTAAATTGATGTTAATTAAGCCTTTCAATTCAGTTATGCACCATATTCATATTCCTCTTATTTGCGCACAATTTCCTGGTAATCTAGTACATTTATTTTAATTATTATGGAAGATACAAAGATGTTCAATGGGTTTTTACAGTAGAAATTATTGGATCCAAACTGTTTGGTTTTAGGTAAAACTGAGAGAAAACAGAGAGAATGCTTTGAAAATTAGATTGATTATATTGCTAGAATGATTTTTGGATCCCAAATTACCAATAATTTATTTTTATATTTATTAAGTCCAAGGTCAAATTAATTTGTGCCGTTTCTTCTTTTATTTTTCAGGTCACATCTGTTTCCATTAGGAAGTGCTTTTGGGTGTGTTTGGTAGAGTATTTAGAATAGTATTTTTGAAAAAGTTGAGTTGGATTGGTATTACGAAAATAGGATTTGAATATGAATATGTGTTCGGTAAATTTTTGGAAAATATTTTCTGAAAATATTTAGACTATTTTTTTAATCCCCTACATTTGTTAATTTAGTTAAACACCCCCTACAATAAAAGTTTTAAAATTAACAAAAATACCCCCACCCACACATTAAATGCTGGCAGCCAGCTATCACCATCGGACGGTGGCCAGAAGTCGTCGGAATGGTGCATGATCGACTTGATCTAGTTAGTAGTGCACCGATCTGGCCGAAAACGGCCAGATCTACGGCCAAAGATCTGGCTATCATTTCCGACCAAATATGGCCAGATCTGGCCATCAACAGCTAGATCTTTGGCCAGAAAAGGCCACATCGATGCACACTAGCACATCTAGTCGGTCATGCACCTTTTTGACAGATTTCAACCACCTTACGACGGTGGTGGCCGGCTGCCGAGAATATGTGTGTAGGTGGGGGTGAATTTATAAACTTTCATTGTTATGGGTGTTTAGTTAAATAAACAAACTTAGGGGTTGAAAAAAATCTAAATATTTTGAGTTGAATAGAATATGATTTGATTTTGAAAATATTGAAACAAATATGTATTTTGGATAGGATTGAGAATCAGGAAACAAACACAGCCTTTTTTTTTTAAATAACCGGGGGTGTCTAGGCCAACTTACGCGCACTAGGAAGTGTTTTTTATCTCCCACCAAAACAAGAAATAACATTATAATTTCTAAATATACGCCTCCTCTATTTTATATTTTTGTTTTAATTTAAAATTTAATCTTATACAAACCCTAACCCTAAATTTTCATAACCAAATTTTAAATTTTCATAATCATTGAAACCTTTTGTTTTATTTTAAATATTTATTTGTTTGATGAAAATATAATACTAAAACTACGGAAAACATAACGGGGTGAATCTAAATAAAAAAATAAAAAAATTAGAAATTAGAAAATTGGGGGAAAAAATGTGTAAAGAAAACCATTATTAAGCTTGATTTGGGAAAAAGGGTGTAAAACAAAAAACCTAATTACAATTTGATGGTCGAAATTAACATGATAATAATTTTTTACTTAAATTGTTGATACAAATTTTTAACCGTTAATTCATTACAATCTAATGGTTTAAAAATTGATGAGGTGCTAATATAAATACTTTAATTTATATTAAGTCCAAGGTCAAATTAATTTGATGTGTAGAAATGGAGGTCAATGATGAAAATTTGCTGTAAAAGCATAACCACCTATAAGAGAAAAATCTTAACCATATTAGACAAAGACTTTGACTAGGGTGTCAACTATGTTATAGTATTTTCCTAGTGGAAGTATAGATATATTTATTGTCCACATGATCAAGGGGCAAGTTGTAAAAATTTTGTGTAGAATTTCTCAACAAACAACAAAATTGTAGAAATTTTATGAGTAGAAATGAAGGTCAGTGATGAAAATTTGTTGTAAAAGCAAGATCACCTATAAGAGGATAATTTTAACCATATTAAACAAAGACTTTGACTAGGGTGTCAACTACGTTACAACATTTTCCTAGTGGAAGAATAGATATATTTATTGTCCACATGATCAAAGGGCAATTTTTAGAAATTTTATGTATAGAATTTCTCAACAAACAACAAAATTGTAGAAATTTTATGTGTAGAATTTCTCAACAAACAACAAAATTGTAGAAATTTTATGTGTAGAAAGGGAGGTAAGTGATGAAAAATTGTTGTAAAAGCAGAACCACCCATAAGAGGATAATTTTAAACCTATTAGACAAAGACCTTGACTGAGGTGTCAACTATGTTATAACATATTTTCCTAGTGGAAGATAGACATATTTATTTTCCACATGATCAAGGGGCAACTTGTAGAAATTTTAGGCATATAATTTCTCAACAAACAACAAAATTGTAGAAATTTTGCGTGTAGGAAGGGAGGTCAATGATGAAAATTTGTTGTAAAAGTATAACCACCGATAAGAGGATAATCTTAATCTTATTAGACAAAGACCTTGACTAGAGTGTCAACTACGTTATAGCATTTATTAAATGTCTTACTTTGCAAAGAATTAGACTTCCATTGTTTAACATAGCATCATTTTCCTATCGGAAGAATAGATGTATTTATTTTCTACATGTTCAAGGGGCAAGTTGTAGAAAATTTGTGTGTAGAATTTCTCAACAAACAACAAAATTGGAATTGGAGACTTTTCAAGCACCAATGTCTTGAAAAAGTTACAAGATCCTGACTATACACATATGTATCTAGTTGCATTAACCATACGATGAACATTAGAATTGTCATCTTCAGGTCAGCATCTGTTTCCATTAAACTCCTTCACATGTCGATACACAGTTTAGGAGAAAGTGAGTTGAAGGTTCGAGCTTTCAAGATTGATTGAATGTCACATTGTGAATTGGAAAAATATGAAGAAATTATAGCCTATTAGGAAGAAGTCGGTGCTGACCGAGACTTTGGCGTGCTAGATGATTTATTAGGGAGTTGTCTTCACTCCATGACCAAGACCTGGGGGTAAACCATTGATGGAGTTGTCCTCACTGCATGACCAAGACTAGTGTTATACATGAATTACATTTTAATGTCATATAATATTTATCGTAACAATAATAATGAACTAGCCATTTGAATCATCAAATTGATAATACGAAGTCATGAAACTAAATACTAATTAATCGGACCTTACATAATTGAAAGTATTTTTTTTTTTGGCTAATCTAAAAGCCCCAGTGAAAAATAGAATTTGAAATCACCAAATATCACCTTTAAGACTACATTGCACACCTCACCTGATGAATGAATTTGAGAATTAAGAGTATTTTGTGCTTGTCGGATTATAGAATTTCAGTTCTGTGAGTTCAGAGTTATATATTTTGGGATGGGAACTGTATATGCTTTTGCTGTTAACTAGTTTTGTGCTCTGGGGTCTACTTTAATGCACATTTAGTCACTGAGTAAAGTCTCTGTAGGTGTTAAACTTTAATGTTAGTCATTGTAGAGTAAGAGGAAGACCATGGTAGAAAACAATTTTTTTTTTTTTTTATTTGTTGGTACCTTAATACTTTTTAATACCTTAATTGAGAAACCTAAATCATGAACTCATCATAATAAGAATTGCAATTATCATATGTTTTTTTCTTTCTTTGGATTCTTGATCCTATTAGTCTCATAGGCTGTTTGGAAATTGGGGGGTGTGGGGGAAGATATATAAGTTTGTTTACAAGACACATATTCCAATAAAAAATTAAATTAGATAAGTTCAATCTAATTTATTTTTTTGTTGTAAAAATAAATTACTATATAAATTCAAAATTAGGTATATTCAATATAAATCGACTATGTTTTTATGAAGTATTTAAGTTTTCAAAACTTAAATAATAATGAAAATAATGTCTATTGAAAATAAAATGAAATATAATTTTGATAAGTCACCTTAAAAGAAACAATATACCTCAAAAATAATATGAATATAATAAGGGGCACCATCATTCACCCGATTTGTTTCCTTAATATTAACACGGTCCTAATTTTTACTTTGTGTCAAAGTCCCTGTTTGTTTTCAATTCGCTTGCTTTGTCATTAAAGTAGTTTGAATTTCGTAGTTTATAATGAGTTTAGAATTCATTTTCCACTGTGCTGTCGCTCAAAGATTATTGGGCCCCCCTTTGTTTTAATATCATTGAAATCTGAAATGTTAAAGAAATAAGAAAAAATAGGACCATTGCAGAAGCAGTGATTTTGATTTGGTTGCCTGTGGAAGTAGCTTTCATTTACAGGCCGAACGACTTATGCATATCCAAGATTTGTTAAAACGATAAATTGGTATCCAAAAGGTTTTAAAATGATAAATAGGTACCTTCCGTCATGTTCTGTTAGTGATTTTCGTTAGATAATAGTGAAAAGACTAAAATGCCCTTAAAAGTTTAATTTTTAGTTTTTTATAAATTTAAAAATTTCTAAAAAACCCCCTAGGTTTGCTAATTTACTAAACACCCCAATATATAAAAATTTGATAAAATAACAAAAACACCCCTACCACCTGCAGTGCCAGATTCCGGCCACCACCGCCGGAATCTGGCCGAAAAATCGCGTTACGACACAGACCCATCGGATCTGTGTCATAACGCGTAGATCTTTCATTTTCCGGCAAGATCCGTGGCTGATCTGGCCGGAAAAGACCAGATCTACGGCCAGATCTGGCCGTCAAGACCGGAAACTTGCCGGAAAATTGTGTTACGACACAGACCCATCGGATCTGTGTCGTAACACGTCGATCTGGCGTTTTCCGGCAAGATCCGTGGATGATCTGGCCGGAAAAGGCCAGATCTGGCCGTCGAGGCCGAAAAAGGCCAGATCGATGTGTTACGACACAGATCCGATGGGTCTGTGTCGTAACAAAATTTTCCGGTCAGATTTCGGCGGTGGTGGCCGGAATCTGGCACTGTAGGTGACGGGGATGTATTTGTTATTTTATAAAATTTTTATATAATGGGGTATTTAGTCAAATTAGTAAACCTAGGGGGTTTTTTAGAAATTTTTAAATTTATAAAAAACTAAAAATTAAACTTTCAAGGGCATTTTAGTCTTTTCACTATTATCTAACGAAAATCACTAACAGAACATAACGGAAGGTACCCATTT